GATCAGACTTTCTACGAGCGTGGAATTTTCAAGTTGTCAGAGAGATGGCAAAAGGTCATCGAACAAAATGGAAAATACATTACAGATTAAACTTCGTTTCAAGTAAAAAAAATTTTGTATTTCATTGAACAAATCGGAAATTACTTAGTTGCCAACCCAATAGTTGTCGACCAATCGGTAACTATAAAAACGTGTCGCAAGCCTCGAATAATCCTCTTCGCAAATTGTCCATTTTCGCGCGCGATCCGACCGCGAATCAGGCAAAAGTCGCTATATTCGCGAGAAATTGTCGGCCATTAACTCTCATCGGCCGAGTTACAGTAATTTCTCCCTAATTCGCGCTTCGAATAGATGAAGAGAGAAGAAGGAGATACGATTGTTCGAGCCCCGCGTCTCGTTTTTATCGTCGACCAATCGATAATTATAAAAACGTTTCGCAAGCCTCGAATAATCCTCATCGCAAATCGTCCATTTTCGCGCGCGATCCGACCGCGAATCAGGCAAAAAAATCGCTATATTCGCGAGAAGCTGTCGGCCATCGTTTCCGCGATGGTTCTGTAAACGTTTCAACGTCTTTTGAGACGGACAGTGCACGCGGAGGTAGGCGATCGCGTGTCACGGTCAAGTGTAACCTAGGATTTGATACAATGTGAAACGTGCGGGAGCTCCGTTCACGCTATTAGCGTTTGACACCCTCGACGACGTTTTCGGGTCAAGTAACGCGAGCTATCGATTTAACATAATTCCCGTAGGCGCTCCCTACGCGCGAATTCACGCTGCCGCTTTAATGAGGAATCGAGGGTCGTCGATGCTCTCCGATGTGATCGACTGTTGCTGTATTACGCAAACACCTCCGTCCGGGACTGTGTACACCTAAATTCATTAATTAATACAAAGTGTGCCGCACCTGCTCGAGCAACGATTTACCCTTGAGTCGTCGGAGCGATCTCGTCGGACGTTTACCGACGATTTCTTAAGCAGTTTTCTTCCGCGTTATAACAGCAGCTCTCGCCTTCTTTGTTGAACGTTCGAACGTTCTCAGAATTTTCTCACTTTTTCATTCGGATTCTAAAGTTTCAGCAAATATTGCCGGTGGTACGATTATTGTTATTATTAGACGGCGGATTTTTATGGAAAATTGTCCGCGATAATTTCGCGATACGGGAGATACGCAGGAATTGATTTCTATTCTTAATCATTTGAATGAGTCGAAGGTGATATCACAGTAGCTTCGGATTGTTTTATAATCTTATATAATTTTAATTACGATTAACTTATATATAATTTAACTAAATTTTTAGCTTTATAATTTTTATAATTGATCTATTCATTTCTGCCATAAATGTATAAAATCCGCAGTCCAATTGTTATCGTCTCGTTAACCGAGTTTGAGACAGAAATAGAAAATGATGCGATCGTTCTTAGATCATCCCGATCAATCATTGATGGTTTCCGGGCCTTTGCTACCGAACGCGCGACGATCCAATCAGCTGCTATAAATCTGATGTCGCTGACATGATTGCAGGTGTTATCTTTCGACCGACAATGCTTATCTTGCGCCGCGAAACGATTGCATTCTATCTGTCAGGCCGTGGTTATCTCGCCGCGTCCGGAACTATCGAGTCATCGTCGCGAAAAGAACGAATTTCATTACGTTCGCTGGCCAAACACGCACATGGTACGAATGTACGAATGTGTGTAAATATCTTTAAAGTTATTTAAAAATTACTCCCCCCGAGGACAGCGAATAATTCCGACGCTTCGGTGATTTCGAAACGTCTGTTGATTTAAGAATACCTGCAACAAACGCGCTCGAACTTCCACGTGATTCGGCGACCTGCTCCGCTGTATCAACAGCCCCGAGCGACCGTTTTAAATTTATGAACGGCATTTGCGAGGCACGAAAAACCTGAGGACGCTCGGACATTAGACTTTGACCGAGGGATTTCGACGGAACCGGAGCCGATTCTAGATGCCGCGGTCTATGATGTGGAGTATAAAGACCGGCGATGTTATTTCACGACTATAAATAGAGATTACGGCGACCGCGAGTTAGCGCAATTATCAGGGAACAGGAAGCGGGAGGGGGGCACGATTAAGTAATACCGATCAGGTGTCGACGTTCCTTAATGCGCGCTGGGTGCCGCGAGCTCGAAAACATGCGGGATTCCGCGACATCGTGTTTCCGAAGTTAATCGTCTCTTCGATCGATCGATACGTTTATTTATATTATTATTTTAACTATTAGTTATTATTGATTATTTTATATTACCGTTTTGTAATAATTATTTTAGGTTACTATTGTATGTTAATTATTTTATATTACTATTTTATATTAATTATTTTATATTACTATTTTATATCAATTATTTTGTATTATTATTTTATATTACTATTTTATATTAATTATTTTATATTACTATTTTATATCAATTATTTTGTATTATTATTTTATATTACTATTTAATATCAATTATTTTGTATTATTATTTTATATTACTATTTTATATTACTATTTTATATTTATTATTTTGTATTATTATTTTATATTACTATTTTATATCAATTATTATTTTGTATTATTATTTTATATTGCTATTTTATATCAAGTATTTTATATTATTATTTTGTATTATTATTTTATATTACTATTTTATATTAATTATTTTATATTACTATTTTATATCAATTATTTTGTATTATTATTTTATATTACTATTTTATATCAATTATTTTGTATTATTATTTTATATTACTATTTTATATCAATTATTTTGTATTATTATTTTATATTACTATTTTATATCAATTATTTTGTATTATTATTTTATATTACTATTTTATATCAATTATTTTGTATTATTATTTTATATTACTATTTTATATCAATTATTTTGTATTATTATTTTATATTACTATTTTATATCAATTATTTTGTATTATTATTTTATATTACTATTTTATATCAATTATTTTGTATTATTATTTTATATTACTATTTTATATCAATTATTTTGTATTATTATTTTATATTACTATTTTATATCAATTATTTTGTATTATTATTTTATATTACTATTTTATATCAATTATTTTGTATTATTATTTTATATTACTATTTTATATCAATTATTTTGTATTATTATTTTATATTACTATTTTATATCAATTATTTTGTATTATTATTTTATATTACTATTTTATATCAATTATTTTGTATTATTATTTTATATTACTATTTTATATTAATTATTTTATATTACTATTTTATATCAATTATTTTGTATTATTATTTTATATTACTATTTTATATCAATTATTATTTTGTATTATTATTTTATATTGCTATTTTATATCAAGTATTTTATATTACTATTTTGTATTATTATTTTATATTACTATTTTATATCAATTATTATTTTGTATTATTATTTTATATTGCTATTTTATATCAAGTATTTTATATTACTATTTTATATCAATTATTATTTTGTATTATTATTTTATATTGCTATTTTATATCAAGTATTTTACATTACTATTTTATATCAATCATTTTGTATTACTATTTTATATTATTAATTATCTCGTATTATTTCTCAATTATTATTATTTTAATACTTATTTTATTATATTATCGTTTCAACATTGCATTCGTGCAGCACGCAATCGAACGAAACGAGTCGATGTTTCGATAGAACCTAACAAAGAGTCGCAAGGAAGAAACCATTTTGCTAATAATGGACCGTCCTGGATAAACGGATTCGTTCTGAAACCGTTCGTTCGAAACGTCAGCTTAATAATCTGTTGTCAAGCTCGATATCGTTATCGATAAACGACGCGTCCACGGGCCATTGTGTCGCGAAACATTCGAAAATCACCGACCCTGTTCTGAACAGCATCTCGACGAGCAAAACGCTTCGAATTTTCTATCGCGCGCGACGTTACCATTTCTCGGATAAAATCTGCCATTGAAATCCTCGCGACTGTTACCACCAAAATACTCGATATTAATATTAGAATTATTATTAGGATCGATATTAACCCGAGAAAGATAACCTACGTCGCAGAGGCGCCTGCGAAGACTGTTGATTTTTGTTAATTTTTCATAGAGGTCTAGTGATTTAAGTTTAAAATTACTTAAAATATAAAAAAATATAATATAAATGCATTTTATTTTTACAATAATGCCAAACCTTTAAAATGACTAGATTAACTTAAATAAATATCCATTGTTAGTATAAAATTGACGCCTTAGAAAAGCATGCGCCTCTGAAGCGTATGGTTATCTTTTACGTACGTTGTCATATGGTTATCTTTCTAGGGTTAATATTATTAGCTCGGCGACAGCATATATTTTTCAAGATACTCTAAAATCTGTACGCTGCTCTAAACTCACCGAATCGTAGGCCCAAGGGGAGGAGGTTTGGGAAAACCGTATGCGAAAAAAGGTCCCGATCCTGTTCGAACGGCGTGAAACGACGGAAGAGGAATCGGCGAATCGGAATTACCGTCGCCGAGAGCCGAACTCCGACAGCTTGGTCAGATCGAGCGAATCGGAGCCAGGAAACTGAACGAGTTTTGTGTACAACTCTCGGAAAGCTGTTGAACGCGCTGTTTCGGGCCGGAATCTGTGCCGCAAGGCGCATGTGTTCTATCGATCCCGCTCGCTCGGGGAGCACGCAGCAGTCACCCTCTCTCAATATATCTTCAGAGCCGCGTTTCACCCCTCGCTGCAGCCGAAATGAGAGCGATAGGGGGTCCTCGCCGACTACCGGCACGACGTCGACCGACCGATTAAAATAAAATCGCCATCGCGAGGCCCTCGACGGCGTCCTTCGACGCCGCGGGACGTTTAATTAAGTCCGGATTCTTGTCGCTGCCTCTCTCGGAAACTCATTTCACGGCGAGACATTTTATACAGAGCGAAACCATCAAGTCGTTCCATGAGAAAATTTGTAGGAAAAAAAAGAAAAAGAAAAGATAACGAAACGATCGAGCTATTTTGTAAATATTCGAGACGATCGAGACATTTTGATCGAAATCGAAACGATCGAGAGCCGTTTTACGGGAATCGAAGCGAACAAGTCGTTTCTGGAAAGTCGATACGATTAGGTCGGTTCATAAAAATCGAGACGATTGAGTGATTTCATAGAAATTGATACGATTACATTTTGCAAAGGACAGGAGAAAGCGGAACGATTGAGCCGTTTTGTAAAAAACGAAACGATCGAGGCGTTTTATAGAAATCGAAACGGTCGAGGGCATTTTATAGGAATCGAGACGATTAGGTCGTTTCAGGAAAAAATTGAAACGATTAAGTCGTTTCAGGAAAATTGAAACGATTAAGCCGTTTCATAAAAATAGAAACGATCGAGTCGTTTCCGTACAAATCGAAACGATCGAGTGATTTCATCAAAATCGAAACGGTTAAGTCACTTGATAAAAGGCCGAAGCGATCGAACCAGTTTATAAAATTCGGAGCGGATAGGTTAAATTCGTAAAAATCGAAACGGCTAAGCAATTTCGTAGAAATTATTCTCGGCAATTCTGCATCCAGTCGACAAGACGATTTCTTCTAATAAGCTTTGGATCAAAATTCGCGTTCACTGTTGTACAAAATGTCTCGTATTCGATAAATATTGCACATTCTGTAAATAAAAAACACCGTTCGAATTACAATGAGCCTAATTTGCATGAAAACAGTTTACAAAAGCAAGTGAAAAAAAAGATCGATGCTTCGAACAATCGTAAGAATTTAAAGAAAAATAACTTCGCTTCGCATCAACGTTGATTTAACCGCATCACGGCGGCATCTCGTTTACATCTTATTGCATCAATTCATTCCTAGATCGAAAGCTGAATGAATTCCGCAAGTGTCGCCTCAAGAATCTTTAATTTAAGCTCGCGCCAAGGTCTTTCATTAATTGAGCCGTTTATTTTGAAAGTGGCATAAGTCACTTTTTCAAAAAAATCGAGTTAATGGTAACACTAAATACAATTGAACCATATCTTTTCATTAAAAAAGAGGAAAAAAAATGACTTATGCCACTTTCAAAATAAACGGCTCAATTTTCAATGAAATTCGCGCGGTCGTAAAATATCGTAGAATAAAGTTACAGAGCAGAAACCGATTCGAAACCGATTTCGCTCTCGAAGCGCGATTTTCCTGAAAATATGATTTCCCCTCCGGTCGGGTGGACAGAAGAAATGCGTCAGGTTCTCGGCCCGAAATTCGCGTGCGACCGCATCGTTAGCTCTGATAATGAACTGGCCGCGCGAGCCGTCGTCTATTGGGCGAACGTCGATCATGGTTATCAGCGGCTAGCGAACGCTGCTGGTTCGCAGGCCGGCTGGCTATTCGCGGCGAAGCACTGCCTGGAAAAAGCTTCTGAGCTCGCGACACTCGTTATCGGCGATTCCGTGCAGTTTTATTTGGACATTGCGTCAACAGCGTTACGACGCGCATCGAAATAGACGAGTTTCGTCACGAAAGGTACGCGGCGGCTCGCGAACGAGCGAAAACCGCGGCGACGGCAATAACGCCGCGAGATTGACAATCCTAACTCGATAATGCGCAGGTAGTAGTCGTAGGCGCCGCTCGAAAAGAGATAGATAACAGGGAGATTCCGTAAATGGAAGCGATAGCGCGGCGTAGATTCGCTGTCAAATCACTGCGTGCGTTCTCGCAGATATAATAGACTTTTCATTTCAATTAATTATCAGACTTTCTTCGAGACGTCGCCTCTTTCTATCACGAAGCAGAAGACCGACGAGAAGAACTGAAAAACAAGGTCGACGCATTAGATGCAGCTGGACTGCGGATCTCCGTGCGCTAACCGCATGTGCAAAGCGAAGCTGCGGGAACAGCAGAAAGATCCGCAGTAATCGCGATAACAGATTTTCGGGCACGGCGTTCGTTCAAGAAATCGTTGTAATTTACGGCGAACGTTTCTTCGCGTCGAAGAGGAATCGTCAAGAACTGAATTAATTTATTTCAATGGTAATCTATCCGGACGAGCCTCGCGTCTATGCTAATGAGCGCATTGTTACGAAAGTTTTCGTAACCGGGGCCGCGTCGCGTCGCCTCTGCAAATAATCGAATAATAAACGCGGGGGAACGGCGTTATCGGGTCGCATAGTAATTAGCGATAATGCTGCATACACGTTGGTCGGCTACGAGCAACTTGTACAGTCGTTGTTCACCTTTCAGTCAGCCGTCGCGCCGTGGTAATCCTTTAGCTCGGCGATATTTCCACGCACCCGGTATCGATTTTTCAGTTCGACGCACAGAACGCGGGTCTCTTCGATGGATTTCGGGCCGCGTGCGGCACTGTGGGTTCCAGCCCGGATGAGACTGAGAACGATACTGAGCTTCCTCTGCCACCAACGCCGCCATCATCCCCACCTTCGCTGGCAACACCTTCGACTCTGTCCCCGGCTATCACCTACTTTCTTCAACCACGCCGGGAAAATCATTATTTTTCTGGCCCTGTTGTTCTATTCGATGGTTCAACGCTGATAACGCGGCTGCTGCATTTTCCGGAAAACTTGGGACACGCGCGAAAGCGATCGCGTTCGAAATGCAGCAGTAATTTTTCCCTAACTCGCGGCCAGATTGCGCACGAAAATGGATCATTTCGGAGGAGCAGATAAACAGGATTGACAATGTAAACATTATTTTAATATTATACATTGTATGCATATATTATATAATTATATGCATATAATATGTAATTTATTTTTATTATATAATTATAAATTATATAATTTATTCTTATTATATTATTATAAATTATATGTATTATATATTATATATTGATATATTTATAATATTTAGCAATGCCTCAGAGCCACCACTCCTGTTTAAATATAAACAGGATTGACAATGTAAACATTATTTTGATATTATACAATATACGTATATATTATATAATTATATAATTTATTCTTATTATATAATTATAAATTGTATGTATTATATATTATATATTGATATATTTATAATTTTTAGCAGTGCCTCAGAGCCACCACCCCTGTTTAAATATAAACAAGATTGACAATGTAAACATTATTTTGATATTATACAATATACGTATATATTATATAATTATATAATTTATTCTTATTATATAATTATAAATTGTATGTATTATATATTATATCTGTCTCTTATACACATCTAGATGTGTATAAGAGACAGATATAATATATAATACATACAATTTATAATTATATAATAAGAATAAATTATATAATTATATAATTTATTCTTATTATATAATTATAAATTGTATGTATTATATATTATATCTGTCTCTTATACACATCTAGATGTGTATAAGAGACAGATATAATATATAATACATACAATTTATAATTATATAATAAGAATAAATTATATAATTATATAATTTATTCTTATTATATAATTATAAATTGTATGTATTATATATTATATATTAATATATTTATAATTCTTAGCGGTGCTGCATAAATTACCACCCCTGTTTAAATATAAACACATAGGATTGACAATGTAAACATTATTTTGATATTATAAAATATATGTATATATTATATAACTATTTAATTTATTCTTATTATGTAATCATAAATTGTATACATTATACATTATATATTGATATATTTATAATTCTTAGCGGGTTTTTTCAAAGGGTTGAAAACGGTATAGCCGAAGATTAGGCTAGAGTAAAAATTCCTTCGATTCGGTAGAAAATTTCTGGTAGACGGAGTGTGAGATGAAAATATTATTAATTTCGCGTTCTATGGAAAATATGCTACCGGATGCAGCATGATAGCAAGCTCGAGCGTTCGCGTCAGAATCGATGACTGTCGAATACGTGCCCTTTGAAAATAGCTCTGCTAGAACTGGGACCGACCTCCAGGTATATCCTTGACCCCGTTCCGAAGCCAAAAGGGTCTCGCGTTAACTTTTCTACGAGTGTACCTGGAGGTATAAGTGGTATGACTCAACGGTGCGTCGTACCAGCCGGATGGGTTTATACCTTCGCCACTTATATCCACCCCATTTAGCTCGAAAGTAAAACTTCTTTTGTGTTCGATCGAGGCTGTGGATGACGTTGAATAGACCGGTCAGCCTGTTTTCGACTGTCAACACCGGGCAAACTATGAATCACAGCCTACTGCATAAATTACCCGACACCATGAATAACGTGTACTATGAACAAAATAAAAGGTATCTATGTACTACGGTGAACAAATAAAGGTGCGCCAGGTAACAAAGTTGCTTCGATAAACGTGTTTATCATAGTCGGATGGCGGTCGTTTGCAGAGAAACGAGAATCGGTGAATTACCGTTCAAATATAATATCAACTGTTTGATTAGAGATTCGATATAATAAATATTTATCTATGTGTTTATGCTGTTATCTTTATAGTTTACGAATGGTCGTGTAGAACGTCAACGGAAACGCACGATTTCAAGCTAACATGTATACATGGTGCTGTATTTATAAACGATGGCGTAACCATCTGATAAGAAAAACGGTGTACGAGAACCGCGATTTATTAAGCTTGCAACAAATAAAGGCGTACAGGACAGTCTCCAAATAAATATGACAGCTGCGGTGCATACATCGCGTTGAACCTATTGTCAAGTGAAATTCACATTCAGCTGAAGGACTTGTTGCACGGTGCATATAAACGATAACGCTTGTTGCACGATAATGTGCGCAATAGAATGAGACGGCCGCGATCAGACGCGACAATCGACAACGCTATCGAGCAACCTGTTCGAGCCTATTGCCAATAAAATGTCCCACATTCGTGCAGTTATTGAAAGCAGTGTATAAGTATCGTGTGAGTGGAGTGTGATTGCAATCAAGAACGGGTGTTGTTAAATTGGAGCAAGAACAAGAGAGCAATAAATAATTGCTATATTAGCAATTATATTTAATATAATTGCATAACAATATAAATTTATACAATCTAAATTGCATTAACAATATAATTTCTATTATAGCAATTATTATAATTAATTATAATTATAATAATTGCTATAATAACAATTATATTGTTATATTTTAATAAAATATAAAACGTCATCTCTCACACAGAAGTCGTGTTTATGAACAACATTCTAGACTACAAATTAGATCTTATCGCTTCTTCTTCTTCGTAGTTTATAATCGTTTCCTATTATCTTTCTTGTTTTCTTCTTGATTTGCTTTATTTTTTTAAGATTATTATTAATGTACGGTAATAGAATTCATATAAACCGCGGAAAAGGGTACTAGTGCTGCCACTTGTGACAACATTTGGAACTGACTTACGGGGTCCGTACAGCGCCAATTGCAAAACGCTCAAACTGTTCGCCAAATTCGACTGTTGGCAATTTTGACTAGCAGTTTGCCACTACCCCAATTGGCGCTGTACGGACATTAAACGAAGCTTTACTTTTTCTCCACGAGAGGCCCCCACTATCACGGTATGGTATGTTAACGATATTATTTGTCATTTTGTATTTTATAACGTATCGCGCGCTATTTAAAGATATCAAAAAGTGGGTATAAAATAATATGGAATTTATTACTGCTGCTATTTTTATGAATTTGTTTTGATAATATATATATAGTTCTATAATGTTCAATATATTCTATTCAAGCCTTCCACTTCTTTCGTCTCATCTACGTCTCCTTCGATGGTAATTGAAGTTATTCTTAACATTGTCCGGTGTTCTCTCATAACTGGAGAATAAGTATATGTTATATAACTTATTTATGACAGGACGACCATACACACCGAGTTTATAATTAACAGTCACTTACAGTTCAGTCTGCGAAATTGTTTCCTTCGTTTCATTCTAAAACGAGTGATTGTGTGGGACAATGTTTTCTGTACAACTGTTGCATCAACCGATACCAGTTCCCTATTTAAAACTGGCCTTCCAATTAAGGAGAAATCTTTACTGCCAACAACTAATACTTTCTCTAATTTTATTTTTTCTCCTGGTTGGGGAGGCCAGTGGCCACTAATGATTATGACATCGCTCTCTGTTACTTTAAACTGTTGTCCTCCCACGTGCACAACTGCAAATAAACGGCCAGTTGTGTTGGTAGCTATTTGTTTGTTAATTTCACTTAGCACATCTGTAAATAAAGAAGATGTTATTAGATACGTTAACAGAACGAATGTACACAGTAATTAATATGTGCATATAAATATCAACCAGAAGCAGCTTTTTCCATTTCTTCAGTATTCTCGATGACTCTTTCTTGATAACTTGGTGGCTCAAGAAACCAAGGCATTTGCTTGATTGTTTTGTACCCAGCTACTTCCATGTTCCATAACTTCAGCGCTGTAAAAAAAACAAAATAATGAATACAATATTTTACGCTATCGAAGAAAAATTGTTGTAAAATTGTATAAATAAATGTCCCTCTGTTATCATATTATCATGTCATGCCGAAAGCGATAAAAATTAGTTATGCATTATTATTATTATTTCTTCCATAATATTAATGATTGAACTCAAAAGCGAGGTTATATAACTTCGATTTGCTTGTAAACAAAAAATAAGTAGTTGTTTCTTATTTCTAAACGATAGATTAACAAACCTGGGTAATACTGTTTATAGATTGAAATTGGTTTAATTCTTCTGATACAAGTATTCGTGGCAAAATTAAATAGTCTCGAGAAACCGGCCAGGGTCGCCATGATTTACACACACATATGTAGGTATGCAAGTATGTACATACTAGGTATGTACATACATAATTACATCAAAAGCATGATGATTACGGATTATGATTGAATTAAAAAATTCTTAACATCATTAACAAGATGATAGTTAAATCTTACGAAACCGGAGACAGCAATTATTATATGCAAATAAAGTTGCTTTCATAACAAAAATTACAGAACACGCAAACTGGATAGCTCAGCGGGAAATTTTCGAATATGATAATTTCCGACATGCTCGTGCTTAAAAATAAATAGAATGATGTCATAAAATTATTATAGTGGTAATCTAAAACTTGACTAAACGTCTACAAGTTATTTGTTTTTAATTGTTACCTAATATTAAAAATCAATGGGTCAGCATTACAATATTTCACATACGATTTAAAAGCAATATTGATAAGGCTCGCAGAAGACATGATGTTGTACATTTGATTGATAGTCTCGGTTCAAATCGATATGCCAAAGAAACGGAACTCCTACTTGAATATTTGATGTTCGCATTTTTAAAGTGTATGACCTTGACGCATTGCATACAGTATATATGCATGTCGACAATGTAATTAATTACTTTGACTAATGTGAAATGAAGTTTGTATCCGTTTTAAATTAGTGTTAAAGTATAGGAATCACGAAAACCAATATGAATAGTTCCGAAATAATGTTTATATGTTGTATTCAAATTTACTTATAACTGCGCACGCATGCAGATTCTACTTACGAACGCATGCGTATTGAAGATTACGCTAGTTTTTAAAAATCATCGGAGTTTCGTTTCTTTAAGAATGTTGTGTGACGACGAGATGTCGTACGTGTTCACGAACAGTTACTTGTTATGTTTAGTCGTTGTGTTGTGAAAGAATCGATGACCGTTGAATTATTGTGAATCGTTTCTGGTGTTCTCTGTATTCTGGCTGCTTTGAATTATGCAATTTTATAAGGAGAATCTGCTGTCGCCCGGACAACTGAAACGCCTGAGCGAACACAAATACAGCTGCACCACCAACAGTCTCCTGGATGGGCTACTTCAACCGTGGTGGGACTGGCTAGTCAGCAAAGTTCCACTTTGGCTTGCGCCCAATTTAATCACGATCCTAGGTCTCATCGTCAACATTGTGACAACTTTGATTCTTGTTTATTACAGTCCCGATGCTAGGACCGAGGTATCATTTACATAACCTATTTTTCCGGGTTGTACCTCACTTCCTGCTTCCGACAGCGTTTGAAACCACTGAGTTATTTCGGAGTCTAATGCATATTTATAATGAAATTACTTTGCTGGAACAATCTGCCTGCGTATGACAAAACATAATTAGCAGTCCGAAAATACAACTTGTCGTATAGTTATAAATGTTCAAAAACGTTGTTTATATATAACGTGTATTTATAACGTTGTGTAGGCATGGCTCATTTTAATGAACATGAATTCATGTAGGCAGATGTGACATTACATTGATATTTCAGGCACCCAGGTGGGCATGTTTCTTGTGCGCACTTGGTCTGTTCATTTACCAAAGTTTGGATGCTATTGATGGCAAACAGGCCAGAAGAACAGGGACTTCAACACCTCTGGGTGAACTGTTTGATCACGGATGTGATTCCATATCAACTGGTATGTAGTTTGATAATATAAATTATAAAACCATCTAATTTAAGGAATATATTTTATATTTATAACTATTATTTAAGCCATCAGTTTTATCCAAAGTATTTACGAATATTAGTCTTAACCATAGGTAATGTTTCCTAATAAAAAACATGACATTTTTATACTTTCAGTGTTTGTTGCTCTGTCAGCATGTATAGCGGTACAATTAGGATATTATCCAACATGGATGTTTTTCCAGTGCTTTTGTGCTATGACACTTTTTTATTGTGCTCACTGGCAGACATATGTTTCAGGTAATAATTTATTTACATATATTAAAACTTCAGCAAAACTCGTATTAATTTAATTTACAAATGATTTTAAACAGGGTCACTAAGGTTTGGCAAGATAGATGTTACAGAAGCACAATTTACAATTATAACTATTCATCTCATTTCTGCATTCTTTGGACCTAAAGTGTGGATGATGGAGGTTGTATCTTTTCTTTTTAACCGTGGCTTGTTATTTTAAAATACAGTATATATAACTTTAAAATATTTTATGGCAATTAACAAGTACTCGGATCTTTATACAAAGCTGACTAATTTTTATAGAAAAATTGATTAAGCTTTGTACTGATCAGTTGCCATAAAAGTTTAGTTTTCTTTTCAGTTCTTAAAGCAAGTTTAAGCTTTGTATGACATTCATGTAATAATGGAACATACAATTTTTTAAGGCACAATAGTAACAGTTACAGTAAAGTTTTGAAGATTGCAAACACAAATTATAGAGCACAAAATATTACAAAATCATTAATTGCTCATCAATGACTGGCTACCATAACATCAAACTCATTCATTAATTTTATTTGAACCTTCATAGAATTTTACATGTGTTTCCTGTGTTATAGTAGATGTTCACTCATTCATATTGTTATTTACTTCGATTAGTAAACGAATGAATTTGTTCTAGCAATGAGCACTATAATAGTCGCAGGCAGTAAATTAGTAATTTTGCAATGCAATCGAGAAAAAATGCTGTATGTACAAGTAAATCTCGAGATACGCGGATCATTTTTGTTTCATATTCTTTATCTCAAGACTCATGAAGCATACCAAAAAATATTTAAATACCTTTTTATGCATGAGTCTAATGAGGATATTTCTTACAGATACCATACATAGATGGTTTTATGTTTAAGTATTTAATAGGAGTTATGACAGTGATTTGCGCACTGTACAATTTGTATTCCATCTTTTCGGTGATTTTCACCGGAGGAGTGGGCAAGAATGGTTCAACTGTGGCTGTAAGTTAGTCAAATTAGTCTTTTGTTTTTTGGAAATATGGAAATGGGAGCAGCATGGCATGAGGAGCGACGCTGAAATTACTTTTTTTGCTATGAGACTTATTACCTTAACATGCATTTTATTTCCAAATTTAATACTCATTTATCCTCCTTCATCCAGTTCATTCTTACTTTCCCAATATTTCATCGTTTCTGTAAAAGAAAAATACATTGCTGGCATTTACATCTACAACTACCAAATGTCGAGAATCATAACAACAGAAGGAATATATTTTTAAGGTGATACTGGTACATACTCTAATAATTTACAGTTACATACATGAATTCAACTATAACAGTATTTGTGTTTTTTCCATATAGTATGCTTTTGAAACAATTTCCACAGAAAAAACTTAAAAATCATTCTTAAAACCGAGTTAGCTTAAAAACTTAATTTTTTTAGAAGACTTACACTACTCTCCATAATCATAATTCATTTATTTAATACATAACTATTAACTTTGACTGTAAGCTCAACTATTTTCATAGGAAATAAGGACAGGGAAATAATAAGCCATGCCTTATAGTTAATTAATTCACTCTGCAGTTTCCTCATGCCTCGTAATTTATTTTTATATTATTTTGTGCGATTAAATGAACCACAAGTGAAACTGGCCCATTGGAGATATATCGATTGATCATCGAAAAAAACTGTAATATGCCATAATATAGGATAATATAGGATAAAATTTATCGACCTAAGTAACCGAATAATTTTTCTTTAATTTTCATAACAAGCGAGATTTTGTGCATTTGTTTAGATACCAGGGCTCGGTGTAGGCACAGTGAGTAACTACGTAGCAGTGATATTTTATGCTGGCTACATTCATGTATTCCTTGAATTCTGTAAAGTGTTTGAGTCTGGTGGGATTGGAAAGAATGGTTCCACAATTGCAGTAAGTTCCACAAACTAAGAAGTGTCCGATTGCATACACACAAAATTTTTATATTTTTTGCCACTAGTATAGCAATGACGTCTTTCTTCTTTCATTCTGCTTGCCTATTTAGACTGTTGGGTTATATTACTGTTCATGTTCAGAATAGTTTTAATGCATTACTAAATTTCTGTCTCATTTTTATATATATACATATATAATATATATATATACATATATGTACATTAATTTATTTCTATAATGAATATTACTATATGGTGTGTCAGGCTATAAAAAATGTCGCTGACTATTATTGACCAACGAAAGTGCTATCTCTTCTGTACACACTTACCTCCTACTCTACTTATATGCTTGAAACTGTTATTTCTCAGTATTTTACGTTCAGTACAAGATATCGTTGGTTGAAGTAAATACTTTTGTTTATATTATCAATATCGGATATGGAAAACTACTTTTCATTTTATTATTAATTCTTGCAATAAGATTCTAAGGTGGAACTGTTATTAAACTCTTTTATATTAATCCATACAAAGTGATACAGGGGCTTACTTTCATATTAATAGTATGTATTGTATATAAAGATAATGTAAAATAAAAATCTAACATTATGATAATTTTAGTTGAGCTTATCTAATTCCATATGTATTAATGCAGACAAATCGAAACGCATTTGGAAAGTTTGAAATTGTTTCAAGAGCGAGAAGTTTTCACCGACGTGTGATATTGTTGCATCAGTGTTAGACATTTAGTTGTACATCGACTAATGGAAAGGTCTTTCGTGTCCTTGCACAGTTGCCATACACTGGCACAGAGGTCAAGGTGTTTCCATTATGGGCTGCTGTGGGCATCGCTATAATACTTGCACAGAGCAGCATATCCGTCATTCTAGCCGGTGGTGTCGGAAAAAATGGCTCCACCGTAGCAGTAAGTCGGTTTAGAAGTCATAGGATCATTGTGTAGTGCACTTTGCGACTTATGTTAATTTAGGCCCACTGTAGATCAGTAAATACAACAGTTAATTACTCTATTTCTATCAAGATTCACGTACAAAAATGCACATTAATGTATTCTCAATATTGTAATGTAGTTCCAGTGTTCTAAGTATTAAATATTAAATTGAAGAACTAAATTGAATATTGATCATCAGTTTATCTTGTATGAAGTATATTATATATTTCGTGGGTCTAAATTTTGCAAGAGCATCACACAGAACTGTTTACTGTATCTTTGTGTCCACTTTGGTTAACACCTTCTCCTGTGTATCTGTGAACTTCCATTGAAACATCGAACATGTCGTCCGTCATCTTTAATCCCTGTCCTCAGTCTACGCATCTTCATGTACCTTAATACTGTTAATAGCTTTAAGAAGTTGCATAAGTAACTCTAACTGCATGTATACTTAATTGCTTTTATATCTAGTATAATCTTAGTTGCTATATATTGCTGTTAACATTAATTTACTGTTATAGATATAGTATACATATATTCTCTTTGCTGTGCTTTGAACTTTCGTATTGATATATTGAGTATATTATTCCTATAACGTTTGTGCTTTTTAATACCGAATTTTCTTGCTATTAGCAATTTCTTTTATGTAGAAGTAGAGATCTAATAACTTGTTAGAAGAAGTTCGCCTTGTCTATAGCTCAGCTTCTTTCCAATTTGTTTCTTAAAATTTTCGAATTTTATATACTATATATATTCTATGAATACGATATTTAACATTGTAACAATTCATTTTATCATGTATCAATTACAAATGATTAGTTTCCATCTTAAACAATCATTAGATTGAGAATTAAGCCAATATTCTATTCAGTGTTAAAGTTACATAAGTATTGAATGTTCAATAATATCGTCTATTTGTGAAAGTGTATAGTTCATAATAATTAGCATTCAAGTACACTTCACCCAACTGTTTTCTCTGTACGAAACGTGCGACCGATTTATTCTTCATAATATTTACTCGGTTTCAGGGAACATCAGTTTTATCTCCAATTATTCCATTTAGTTTTGTGGTAGTACCAGCTTTTATAATTTATAGAAAAAGTGCTGAGCACGTATATGAAAGTCATCCTGCATTGTACATACTTGCATTTGGAATGGTTGCAGCTAAAGTTACCAATCGATTAGTGGTAGGTATAATTGTGTCCTCTCTTTCTATCTCTCTATTATTTTTTTATAATTGTTTTACTAAGAATGGCACATTCAATATTTTTCTGACATCTCGTTTATTCATTATTGCAGGTTGCACATATGACTAAAAATGAAATGCAATATTTAGACAGTTCGCTGATTGGACCAGCCATGCTGTTCCTGAATCAGTATTTCAATTTCTTTATCAAAGAATATTATGTTCTTTGGTTGTGCTTTGTAAGTCTTTCATTATACCTCCATATACTTAGATGTTTCTCATCGAGTTCTTTCGAATTAATACTATGTACGTTCTCACACTTTCTCTGTTTATGCACGTGTCTAGATTTGGGTTACTCTGGATTTACTCCGATATAGTTCTCAAATTTGCCTTGAGATCTGCGATCATATGAAGATCAAACTGTTTAGGATACCATTAGGAGATCATCGAACGAGCCAGGTTTCTAGTGCAGCTGAAAAAAATGGTACTAGGCCCTCATGGTACTGTAGGCCCCCACGTAACAGATTGCTAAAGAAACATCACTAGGATTTATTTGTGATAATGAATGTGCTGTATAATTCATTATATGTATAAACAGAAGAGAGTTAAGATTTAAGAAAACCTAACGATTTGATAAGTTTTTTGTTATTGTAACTGTATATAAAAAGAGGAGAAGGGAAGTTTGAATAGTACAGTTCATTTATTATCACATTAATTTATAAACACGCCGTATTTGATTGAATATAAATAAACAAAGACTCATCAACAAGTTGGTGAAGTAGTTAATCACTATTCGCCGTTGATCTGCCGTCAACGGGTAAAATATCATGAACCTAATGATCAGGACTATAACTAGATAAAATAGAAGAGTAGAGTACACGGGACGTTATATTGAAAAGAAAAAAATAGATTGATTGTTCATTGAGAATAATTGAACGAAAAGACATGACATAAATTTTAAGTAGCTTTATATCTTGTTAATAAGAGTTACGACACTTTCATGGTAATTGAATTCAGTTATTGGATGTAAACCATTTACTTAATCCGTATGTAACAACAATCGACATGAACAACAAGGTTCTTTTGCGATGTTGAAGTAATGA